TGTCTGTTCTGTGTCTCTCTCTCTTGTTATCAAAATATTCTGTGTGTGCGTATGAACAGGACTCATTACAGCCACCAAAACACTGAGAGAGAGTTGTGTTTGGAGATAAAAACATCTTTTATTCTCTCTCTCGTTCTCCCCCCCCCGATCTCCTGACCTCTCTCACCCATTCCTCTCTTTCTCTTTTCAACCTTTATTCCACTTTTATTTCTTCCCCGCTCTCCTCTTCATTCGTCAGTCGGCCGCTCGGTGGCCAACAGGCCTGCGAGTGTTGGCTCAGTCCCAGTGAGTGTGTGTGTGTGTTGTGTGTGTTGGGTTGCGAGAACAGAGGTCAAAAGCAGAGGTGAGGTGAGCGAAGTGATTGGGTGGAGGGAGGGGAGGATTTTAGTGCAGCTGGCAACCGATTCAAACAACAAAACACTCCAACCTGTCTGGAAATTATATTATTATTATTATTTTTATTTATTAATCGTTGTAGGTAGTTAGTATTTTACTTATGATGTAACCATAAGTCTGCTGTTATTCTAATGTTTTTGTTATCATTAATCAATCTCATGTTCACTCAAACCAAAAAACAACATGTGACCCTGTCCGTCCGGTCTCTAAATACTGTCTGACTTCCTCTCTGTGGCTCTGAGCTCATTGGTTCCTACTGAATATTTTAAATATACCTCACAAATATTCTTTATAAATTAAACTTTGTGGTCTTGAGCAATAATTCCCAATTTTTTTCCTTTTCTATCAGTGAGTAAACTGACTGTATTTACTGTATATTTCATATTATATTGATCAGTATCAATAACAGCAGAGAACAGCTGATCAACTGATCAATGAACACAAACAGTGAACTCAATAACTGCAGAAAGTTTGACTATTTCCTTTGAATATTGATCATCATAAGTTTTCTTCACAGAAATGAATAAAATGCTGGGATATCAACCTACTGTCTATATTTACATTTTTCATACAACCTTCAGTGGCGAATGAATCCCCATTAGGTGCTCTAGTAAATATTTGTGGCAGCCGGACGTATAAATAAAGTTTTTAATAGTTTTTGACTCTTTAAGGTGGGTAAACATGGCCTTACCTTGTCTTTCTCCACAAAGTCTACGTAGGAAGTCCTCTCGATCTCGACCGGCTGACCCTGCCTGTCGTACAGTGCCAGCACGAAGTGGAAGAAGTTGGACTTCCTCAGGTTGGACGGAGGCTGCTTCTCAAAGTGAGCTCGGGCTAAACCCACACCGCTGAAACAGACCGAGAGGAAAAACATGTTATTATTCTGAAACTACACAACATTATCAATACATATATCAATACATATATCAATACATATATCAATACATATATAAACAGCCAAGGTAACGCTTCACTTCATGTAGTTACTATAGAAATATTTAGAGCAGATAATGAATGACAATGTAATGATGTAATAATATAAAATTAGTTCTTATAACTGTTTTATAATGTGTTTTAAACAACTTAATATATATTTATATACCTTTTATCAGTAAAAGTATTTGCCTGCTCAGCACATTTAAACTACAGCTGCAACTAATGATTATTTCTATCTATTATCTATAATTTTCTGAATTAATCAGTTAGTTGTTTGGTCCATAAAATGTCAGAAAATGGTCAAAACAACCCACGGCCCAATCATGACATCTTCAAATGTTAAAAAATTATTACATTTCATAGTGTACATCACAGAGGATGAAGGAAACCAGAAAATATTCACATTTGAGAAGCTAAAATCAGAAAATGTTGACATTTTTTCTTAAAAAACAGAAATATAAAGTTGGATCCTGGACGAGCCCCCATTTGTTGCTTCCTCGTGTGATCAGGAATCATTTAGGGAATTGATACAGAGTGCCAACAGAAAATATCATAACCAACCTGAAACTCTTAATATTTATTTTGAACAGCAGCCAACTAAAGTAATCCTAAAGATACAACACATTTTACACGTCTGTATAATCTCACAATTGTTATCAGAATATTTACTGTCAAAGCGCATTAAGAAACGTCTTCGTTTTTTCTGGACTACACCAAAGCTTTTGTGGGGGCGGAGCCAATAACACATTCATCTCATTACTGGTTTCTTCCTGCAGCAGTATTAAAGGTGTATCTGATAATACACAAACTAAACATTTCCTGCTGCTGCTTCACAATAAAATCACTCCAAAATGGGTTGCTTTTATTGTGAAACAATAAAAATAAGAGAGAGAAAACAGCTTGTCATTGATCCTCCTAATTCCTCTTAATTCAAGACCAAAAATAATCCTGACAGGAGTTTAAACCGCATCTGAAAAAATTTCTAAACTGTATTTCAAACTGTAATTATTAATTCTGACTCTGATCAATCAAATTGATGAGTAAAGTGTTTAAGTGTGAAATGAGACTCGGGAGGACAATGATGGATGAGTAGGAGCGAGTTGAAAACTATTCAGGTGATAATAGTGACTGAAAGAGGGAGGTAACTGTGTGTGTGTGTGTGTGTGTGTGTGTGTGTGTGTGTCTGTGTCTGTGTGTGTCCTCCTCTCTGTAAGCGCGACCTTTTACATAAAAGCTAGAAAAACTGTAGAGACAGAGGCCAAAACCCTGGAGAGACGAGACTCTTCCTCCAGTCTCAGAGTCAGGGAGGAGGAGGAGGAGGAGGAGGAGGCATTATCTGTCTCCATACATTATATAAAAAATGTCTGTGTGGCCCATTGTAACTTTCTTAAAGGAACATTTGAAGCCTGGAGTTTAGATTTACTGTTTACAACCACTGAAGTCAGGAATCCTCCTTCAGTTCAATCAGACACTGACTGACACAAACTCACATTCCTGCTAAATAACAACTGAACAACCAGGAAATGTGTTTGATTAGAATTGTGTTAGTATTAAATTAATCTATTGTGTTTACATTAATTAAAGGATTGGTTCATGTTTCTTGGACCAACACAATGTTGGTCCAACAAGAAAACCTCATTTTGAATTGTGAGATTCTTTTGGGCCAACTTAACTTACTTGTTTAATGTTACAACTGGAAAATTGTTTAATCAATCATATTAAATTAAGTTGGCTTTCCATGATTTAATTAAGTAAATTCAAAGAATAACTTTTTAGTGTAACTTAAATAAAAAAGTACAACAAACAACAAGTCACAATATAAAATAAGTTGTTCTTGTTGGACCAACAATTTCATTTATAATCATTCAACAAACATGAATCAATTATTAAGTTAACATAAACACAACTGATTAATTTAATGTTCTACTTGCACAGTGCAGTGTGACGTTAATCTGCTCGTTTGATCACCTTTCAGTGCTGTTTCATCCTTATTTAACCACTTCTCACAGTAAGCTTTGTACATATTGTTAATAGTATTTACTGTTCGTTATTGTCTACAGTGTTTTTCATCATTCGGATTGTCTAATCACCTCAATGTTTTTAGAAAAGGAGCTAGCTTAGCCAGTTAACTAGTTTAGCTGGCTGCTAGATTGAAGAAAGCAGCGTCAAGCTCATGAGGAGGGCTGCTCAAAAGTTATAAAAGTTTTTCTTTGAATGAACTTAATTAAATCATGTAAAGGACTACCATGTGATTAAATGTCTATTTACTAGTGTAATTGTAAAATTAGTCAAAGTTTACTCAACTCAAGTAAATTAAGTTGGGACAACAGAATTGCTTTGTGCTGAAAGAAAACCATTTGATCCTGTGGAAATAATTTACATAAACCAAACACAGAACTCATCACAGAATAAAGCTGAAGGGCTCCACAGACAGACTGTACGTCCTCAATGCAGCTCCAAAGCTTCCACTCACAACAACCCAAAACCTCTGGAAGTACATAATAACCAGCATCTCCCCAGTCGCCTTCCCTCTGCCTTTAAAGAGACCTCACTCCCATCACTCACCTACACAAAGACACACAGTGGTGTAGTGGGGCCTGGGGAAGTGGGTATACGCTTAATTTCTGCCCCAAATTTGTTTAAAGCAAATGATAAACTTCCTGTGTCATAAACAGTGACATGTGAGACTACTCCTGCATATTTAACTCACCAAAAATGGGCCAGTAGTATTTTCCCAGTAAAGTTCTTTATGAAATCAACATTAGCAACAGAAGAGGAGCAGATTTTACAGTCAATACGGACCCAAAAGACAAGGGAGACAACTGTATAATTATGTGTGAGTGACATATTCCTCACTTCATCCACTCGAGCAAATCAGAGTCATGACTTCGCCATCCTACTAAAAAAAAATCAGCTTGCAGAACACTACTGAATGAGGTTCACCAGAGGGGATTTATATGTAAACTCTGCACTCCACCACTGAACACACAGATACCACAACACCAGACTGATCGCCATCACCGCGGTTACAGGAGACACAGACACGAAATAACAATGCATATTTACATTGTACATTAATACCAGTTTGGATTAATTATACACTACGGCTGCACAATGAATCAAAATATCATCGAAATCTCAATATGATGATTTCTGTGGTTGACAGGACTTTATTGTAATAAATACGGTAATTTACAGTAAAAGGACATTAGCACTTTTAATTTTAAGTTGGGTTTTTATTACATATTGTTATAAATAAAGCTTTTGCCATGAGATTTGATGTACGTGTTTTACTGTTACAGATACTGAATTTAATCTATTTAAAGGTTATGATATTTTACTGTCATAGTTTGACAGTTTTTTACTGTAAAATCTACAGACATTATTTACACATAAGTTGCGTTTAAATAATAAATAAATAAAGCTTGAGTGTGTGACAAACAGCTTTATAAAGAACTATTGTGGTTCAGAGAGATCCTGGTCTACAAATGTTCTCCACATGCAAGAAAACATGTTTGTTTGGTACAGACCCAAAAATATGTCACATCATCATGAATTTAACAGGACTGTTTTCAGTGAAAAAGATTATTGTGATGCAAAAATGATTTTATACATGAACAAAGGGGAAAAGCACCGTTACCTGAATAAAATTACAGATTTATCTGAATTTGAACATTGTTGGAAACATTTGGGATAATGTAAGAACATAACTCAACTATGTATAGAACAGAGTTTATACACTGTTTAATGAGGACATTTTCCAGATTACAGCTTTAAATTCATAATCTTTTAGTAATTGTGTCACAAATTCCCAGAGCACACTTCTGATAAATGATTGTGAATGTCTGAAATCAACTTTATGTATTGATAAAAGATAAATGATGCTGGAAACTACATATAAATTATGTCAAATCATATCAAGTTAAAGTAAAATATTTTATTTATAAAATTACAGATTTCTTAAAGCAGGCAAATGATGATGATAATGATATTAAATGATTTTATTTCCAATTTAACATTTAACATTTTTCCTTTAATGATGTTTTTCTTCTCTCTTTTGTCATCGTATTTTGATTTAAAGCCACATTATTGTGTGAATGTGCTTCAGCATCATATCTGCAGCATTTAAAAAGGCTTCTAGTGAGTGTGTTAAGAGGAAAACACCAGCCATGTTAATGTCAGCAGCTGATTTTGGGAAAAGTGGATAAAAATCCTTGTTGATCCTGAAATAAAATCGATGCTCCTGCAGGAAGTGACCTCTGCTCACCGTACGCAGAACCTCAGAGCGTCCGAGGGGGAAACGCTCAAAGCAACAGCCGAATATTTTTACATCAATCTCATTTTCCTGCTTGTTTTGTTTCCTAAAACACTTTATGATCAATATGATCGCCCGGGCATAGATAAATATTTATTCATGCTCAGGGTTTGTTTTTGGAAACTTGCCCGCTCTCTCTCGGTCTCCGTGTTTGCCGGCTCAGGGGTGTATTCCCCAGACGGCAGATTAATACAGCCGTGACCTTTCTGCACCCCCATTACCAATGCTTAATGCCTCATTTGTAGGCCGGTTTGTTGGAAGCTAATTCTTCAGACTCGCAGAGTTCTGGCTGGGTGGACGGTGGCGGAGAGAGGAGCTCGCAGGAGGAGGACGGCGGTGGCGGCTCAGGTGTGTGTCGGTGAGGTTAGAGTCTGTTTTAAAAGGAGGCTCGGTGGAAATAAAGCAGCAGAGTGTCAAAAATGCAACAGTGTTAAAATGAAAAATAACACACAGTGCGGCAGGCTTCAACACTTTCACCACCAGATATTTTCAATGACTTCCTGTGAGAAAAAACATCCACAAGCATCTGTTTTCATCCATGTTGCTATTTCAGGGCTGATGATACTACCAGAGCTTCAGGAAACATCCTTTACTGAA